ATCCAAACTTAGTACAAGTTCATTACTTCTAGATAAAGTAGTTGGATCCAAACTTAGTACAAGTTCATTACTTCTAGACAAAGTAATTGAATCCAAACTTAGTACAAGTTCATTACTTCTAGACAAAGTAGTTGGATCCAAACTTAGTACAAGTTCATTACTTCTAGACAAAGTAGTTGGATCCAAACTTAGTACAAGTTCATTACTTCTAGACAAAGTAGTTGGATCCAAACTTAGTACAAGTTCATTACTTCTAGACAAAGTAGTTGGATCCAAACTTAGTACAAGCTCATTACTTCTAGACAAAGTAGTTGTATCCAAACTTAGTACAAGTTCATTACTTCTAGACAAAGTAGTTGGATCCAAACATAATGAAGAAGAATAACAATAAAAGGTAAGCCAATATACACTAATTTTTTTTGTTGGATTTTTTTTTCTCTGTGTGTGCATGTGTGCTTTTTTTAAATAATTGTTGTAGGATCTGGTAATAACTTTTGAACCTCTAATAATGACACCATTCCACTGTGCAAATAACAAACTGGAGATTCTAAAAATATTTGATTTGCATGTGATAACATCATCAGCTTTAGAAAAATAAGCTTGTTACATAGTCATACTCTAAAGGCTAAACTTGAATAATATTTGCTCATGAGAAAAATTAATCTGAGAAAACATGACTTTGTACAAACAGTTTAGGAAAACAACTCTAGTTTTGGTAATCATGTACAGGTAAACAACTCTAGTTTTGGTAATCATGTATAGGTAAAGAACTCTAGTTTTGGTAATCATGTACAGGTAAACAACTCTAGTTTTGGTATGCATGTACAGGTAAACAACTCTAGTTTTGGTATGCATGTACAGGTAAACAACTCTAGTTTTGGTATGCATGTACAGGTAAACAACTCTAGTTTTAGTAATCATGTACAGGTAAACAACTCTAGTTTTGGTAATCATGTACAGGTAAACAACTCTAGTTTTGGTAATCATGTACAGGTAAACAACTCTAGTTTTGGTATGCATGTACAGGTAAACAACTCTAGTTTTGGTATGCATGTACAGATAAACAACTCTAGTTTTGGTATACATGTACAGGTAAACAACTCTAGTTTTGGTATGCATGTACAGATAAACAACTCTAGTTTTGGTATGAAATGTGATGTGCTATGAAAATCTCATTACATGAAAGAAATAATACTTAAATTGTGATCTGATTTTTCCAGATCCGCAAAGGAATTCCAGTAATTCGTGCTTTTGGACTGGAGGATCTGTTCTACAAATATGGTGTTGACTTGGAACTGTGGGCTCATGAGCATGTTTATGAACGGTTATGGCCTGTCTATGACAGAAAGGTACAATGTTTGTTGATTAAGGATTGGTATAGATTTATTTACAAAGATAGGTTAAACTTTTATTATTAAAGTTCAAACAAGTAATAAATGTTTTCTAACAAGGAATGATTGAGCAGTACTTTGCTTATAAGGTGCGTAATCACATGGGCTCACGTGCAAGCTTCCTTTTATTTCAAGAAGTATAATATGATGTGCACCTCACCATTATTACTTTGTAAGTGCAATATTAAAATGCTTTGTACTAAAGCTTTTGTATTATATTAAGACTAACTTAAATTATAACAATTGAAGCAAACCCTTCTAATATAGAGATGGTTGAGAAAGACCAAGATATATGTGTTTTTCTGGTTAATTGTAAGTAATGTTTTGATAACAATAACGTAATTTGTACCTGCTGATAACAAGTTTACATTCAGCCACTGTTTGTGTATAAAAAGAGATCTTGAGTTTTTAATGTATCAATTCATTCTAGAGCCAGAGTCTTACATGACCTGGTGGTTAGGGTAGTTGACTTGTATTCTGCAGATCAAGGATTCAAATCTCTTTACCAAACAAGCTCACCCTTTCAGCTGTGGGGGCATTATTGTTTGACGTTCAATTCTACTTTTTATTAGTAAAGAGTAGCTCAAGAACTAGCAGTGGGTGGTGTGACTAGTTGCCTTCCCTCTAGTCTGTCACTTCAAAGATAGAGATAGCTAATGAGTAGAGCCCTCGAGTAGCTTTGCATAGAACTCAAAATCAACACATAATGAGTCTAAAAACCCGTTTCTGTAAAATCATGATTGTGACTGAGTTCCAGTTGACAGTGTTTTATCAATCTAAACAGTACAAGTGATAAATATACTCTAGTATTAGTGAATGGCTAATCATCTATTCTCTTAATCAAAAACTGAACTTAAATTACTCGTCATATCTGCTAGTAGTAAGAATGTGGGAATTAAGATTTGTTGTATTGTAAGAAACATCTTCTCTTCCACAAATATTTACTCAATATAAGAAAAATATATTAATTTACTTAGAATATATTAATGAAAAAATGAAGTAGGTAATGAAATAAAAAAAATATGTATGGAACAGTATTTCTTTTGCAGGTGTACAATGGAAGCTATCAATATCCTTACACCAACCCAAAAGCACCAGTTCATATCATCACTGGATCAGCTGTAAGTTTCCTGTTTTGGGGTACTTTAATAGCATCTAAAAATGTTAAAGCGTTTCATTGACAATTGTAATTGTTAATTGGTTTTCTTCAGGTTTGATGAAAAATACACTATGTTAAAATGATTTTGAAACCTTGTGACGTCATACAGTCCATGTTGGCATATCTGATCATGCTCTGTCCGATGAATATACATCTTTACAGTAGCCATGCAATGTAGTTTCCTTTGCAGAAGACTCTATCATAACGCTGTGATATGTAAAGCATATCCTTATCCCAGGCATGCTTTTCATAAGTCATCTAGTATACAAGGACAACCGTTTCCTAGCACTAATTTCAACAGTGATTTCAGAGAAATCCCTAGGCACTTCATCAAGCAACTTGACCAGTACATCTTCACATGGAATAGCATAAATATTCATTTCATTCTTCAGCTGCTTGAGGTATGCAATGGTTGAACAAATATTTTGTGGAAACAACTTATATAACTTTTCCAGACGGGGATCTTTTTGATTACATTGCATATCGTTGCCTGGACATATGAACAACTTTTTCCATTTATGTTTGTGACTGCGGATTCTCATCTATTTAAGACACCACACTTTGCTTATCATGGCTAGAGTATGGTTTGTTACTGGTCTGTGATGGATGTTCATGGTGCCTCAAGTTAATCCATATTCCTTTGTTTTCCAATGCCATTAACATCTAAGTCTATGAACATTTTGTGTGGAAAAGGGCTGTTAAATACTCTCCCCAAAAGCAATAAATTTTCAGTGATATTACACTACATATAATATTCCAAACAATGCTTATTAGGGTCTCAGATTTTGATTTGATGGGATGTTTTTTAAGAACATCTAAAAAAAAGATACTGTGTTTTAACCAACTTTGAAATTGTGTGCTCTTATCTTCTCTAACATCCAGTTTTCTTTTCAATAGGTTCTGCATCTCTATAGTTCATAGAATAAGCATGTTTCAGAGCAATTAATAACAGCCTACAGCCTCGTAAAAACTCCTCCCTCTCCTGCTGTCTAACTGGGTGTACAGGTACTTAGCAAACACCAGAAGCAGCAGTGTGGATGAACCTAGGAATGTTCAAAGCACCAAACCAGAACATCACATTAGTATTTACACAAGATCAGTAAACAAGGGCATGTGTTAAAGCTACCCAACTTTGCTTGTCAAAGATAGGGAAAAAAATGTGGAGCTTCCACTTCCTGGATTAGCAGTGGATCTCTTGTTATAACAAAACACCACTCAGCAAATTATTTTATCACTAGAACCTGATACCCAAGATCACAGAAGCATTTCTTTGCTGCTGAAACAACAGTTCCAAGGCATGATACAGATCAGTAGTCGATAGGATTTTTACTTCTTTTACTTCTGTTGGACATCCAGTATAACAAGTTCTAAGGAATGACACAGATCAATAGTCAGTAGGGTTTTTACTTCTGATGGACATCCAACTCAACAACAGGTCCAAGGCATGACACAGATCAGAAGTCAATAGGGTTTTTACTTCTGATGGATATCCAGTACGATAACAGTTCCAAAGCTTGACACAGGTCATTACTCAGTAAGGTTTTTACTTCTTTTACTTTTGGTGGACATCCAGTACAAGAATAGTTCCAAGGCAGACATCCAGTACAACAACAGTTCCAAGGCATGACACAGGTCACTAGTCAATAGAGTTTTTACTTATTTTACTTTTGATGTACATCAAGTACAACAACAGTTCCAAGGCATGACACAGGTCACTAGTCAACAGAGTTTTTACTTATTTTACTTTTGATGTACATCAAGTACAACAACAGTTCCAAGGCATGACACAGGTCACTAGTCAACAGAGTTTTTACTTATTTTACTTTTGATGTACATCAAGTACAACAACAGTTCCAAGGCATGACATAGGTCAGTAGTCAATAGAGTTTTTACTTCTTCTGATAGACATCCAGTTACAACAACAGTTCCAAAACATAGAACAGCTCAACTGCTAGTAAACTTTTAAATTTGTTGTCTGTGAGAGATTACTTTCCATTTGAGAACTGTTGCAGTTTAAAATGTAGGAATATGATTACTTTTGTCATTGATCTTAGTTAGAACCTGAGATAAAGAATGCCAATTGCTTTCAGGAAGACTAGACCAACTTAACAAAATGAAGTCACAAACTATATACTCCTCCTACAAATACAAAAGAAGAAAATAGAAATGAAATGATTCTTTTTGAAATTCAACAAATAAGCTGCTAGTATGTTTTGGAGCAACTTGCAGACTGCCTATTGCATTATCAATATCCTTAAAGTACTGAAAATTTGAAAATTGAACCACAGCAACATGCGGTGCAAAAATGTTCTTTGATTTTTTAAAAAATATGGCCATTCAACTTACAGAATTCAAAACTAAAAGAAAAGAGGCTGGAGAGAGCCTTCACTTATTTTCAGATATATTGTAGAAATCGCATGAGAAAGGTATTCCAATGTAAAAATAATGGACAGGGAAGACATCCTCATTGGTAAACTTGTGGAAGGAATCCTTTCAAAGATTCCAATAAATATAATGGAAGTGCAAGTCTAGCTAATCTAAGGTGGTGTTTGTAAACAACCAGTGTAAAATAACCATGCCAGAAGCAAAGCGTTAGGAAATGAGAGGAAACTGTAAATCACCTCCAGCCATACAAAAGTTCATGGGCCAACCATGTTCCAGGAATGAGCACCAGAACAAACACAGAGGATTTAAGATCCCTAATGATAGCAAGAAAAGACTTCTACCAACCAAAGGACAGTCAACCATGGAAGAATGGTTATGGTCCAGAGTAATTATAAATAATATTTAGTGTTTTATCTACAAGTATCTTTGAACCACTAGATTAGAGAATGCCAATTTAAATAGTAAAACAAAAAAGCAGTTAAAGGACCTCAAAGTGAAGGACAAGTAAACCAATAAGTAACCACAACAACCCAGCAGATACCTCTTAGGTACTGTGAAGCTGTTCCAATCAGACCTAAAAAAAAGAACAGTAGCTCATAATTAAGATAGATAATTCTAAATAGATATTAGTGAAGACTGAAAAGTATGGAAGTCTAATTAAGTTCCAGTGTATGTCCCTTACTCCATCAGAAGACTGGAATCTGCAGGAACCCTGTTGGATGTGGATGTTTGCTTGACACCTAAACCAACCAAGACATGCATCAAGAATTGATCACTCCTTCTAATCAACAAATAGGAATTTCCACTTAAAAAAACATTTAAGTAGGATTTGGGATCAAGACAGCTTTGAGTAGTAATTGAGTTAATCTTGAATCTTCTATAAAAATCTTAGGACTAGATCTTGTCCAAGGTGGAAGAGTGTAAATAGACTGTGAGACCTGTTCTAGCTAAAATCATAAATAATATTCAACGTTAAACTGGTACACAATTAAAAACATTTTATTTAGGCCTATCTATGGCCTTCCAAAAGATGAAGACTCTACATGATTTGGCGTTACAACGTTATCCTCAGGAGTTTAACGTTGAATGTTATTTATGGTTTTAACTTTATACACAAGTGCCAAAATACTATAATTACCTGTTCTAGCTCTCGTAATTGGGTTACCATTCCAGTAGTTGAGATATAAAATAACTTATAAAACACTAGCTCTGAAATATAAAATAAGAGATAAAAATCATCCCTGATAAAGCTGTCTGAGCTAATCAAGAGTTACAGTGGTCCTTTGAAGAAGTAATCTCAGTCCATTAAAGCATGAGTTACAGATAGGCATTGAGAAGGACACATTAAATCTGTAGTAGATGATTAAGATCTACCCTAAAAGGCAACAAAGGCTGTTAAAGATTGGCCTCTTCCTACCTTTATGGATATTAACATGTTGTTAGTTTAGATATTCAACAATATATTAATAGACATCAAAGAAACTCAGTCTACCAAGTAATTTTATCATTTCGTATAGGTAGCCAGAGAAATGATGAAAATAAATAGTGGCAGAAGATGTAATTAGGTCATTACCATTGGTGATAGCAGTAAAAAAAAGAAGAGTTGAAAACCGTCGATTCTGAATGATGTTTAGTAGTTTGTGGAATGTACCACCCACTATTCAGCAACTGAAGGGTTTAGCCTTAAGTGGTCTATAATGTTAGTAATATCTTATCTGTTGTGGCATTCTCAGGTCAAATAAATTTCTGCACAAGTATCAGATATGTTTGCCTTAACAGCAGGATCAAACAGGAAATCAGTCTGTGTCTGAAAACTTGACTGAAACTTAAGGTCATGTGAGAAGATAAGAAGAATGTAAAAGTTTGTTTGAAAATGAATACAGGCTTTATTTTTTACAAGAGCAAAAATAAAACACACTGAGCATACTTGCACAGAGTTATACAATTGCTTCTACAGATCTGATGTGTCACTCAGCAACTTCCTTCTCTTGAGAATGGAACTATCATGCCAAAAACTAAATCACAAAAGTAGAACTGAGAGAGAATAAATGCATCGATCTTAGAAGAAAGCTTGTATCATTTCTCCTGTCAGCATGTGATTGGTCATTCACTCACTGCATTTGTCTGCTGTACATACAGATATCATCCACTTGGCTAGCAAATGTCATTGCATTTGTTCACCCTTATAACACTTAAATGAAGAATGCTGTAATATTCTTTTGGGCAGAGTAGATATTATCTGTTATAGATAAAAAAGGTAACTAGAATAAGGCAACTTCAGCATTTTCCTGGACCATAAACTTATGGTAAAACTGCATAGAAACTAAATAGAAATTTTAAAAACTTTTTATGATATACTTAAGCCACTTTGATTTGGCCGAAGATGATTAAAACACAGAAGAGGTAAAGACAAGGACTGGATTTTCAGTGATGACGTCAAGTTAATCTTGAATAGTTGTATCCCAGATCCAGTATGATAAAGAAACAAGTCATAATAACATATGTCAGCAACAGTTTTAGCCCTTTATACAAAACTGAGTAATATAAAACAATAAAAAATCTTTGTTGTGTCTGATCATCACTTAAACACTACAAATAAAGACTCATGATAATTGTTTCTGGTATTGTATTTATTAGCTATATAAATGTTGATTTTATGAATATAATTTTGATATGCTAAGAAGTAATGCTTTCATTTTGAACAATGCATCTTTGTATTAGTTTGAGCTGTTAGAAAATTATGTAAAATATGCATAAATATTTCATTGATTTTTTAACAATTTGAGAAACTTAGGATCAGCTTCTTAGCTTTATAGTCAATTTTTCTGTAATATTATTTTGCTTGGAAGAAAATGCTATCATGATTTACATTTATTTTTTCCACTAGGGCTGCCACGAATACCATGATCCTTTTGTAGCTAATCCAGCTGAATGGAGCGCCTTGAGAAACAGTGACTATGGCTATACTCGAATGACAATTATTAATGGTACCCATCTTTACCTAGAACAAGTCTCTGATGACAAGGTTTGTCAGTTACTTGGTTCGTTGTAGAAATATGTGATAATATTCGTTCTACACATGTTTGTAAGATACAAAACTCTTTTAGAGAAAAGATTAGAAGCTAGATCACTGAATCATTTCTAAACTTGAAAAAACTCATAAGAAAATTTAATGGTTAGTGATACAAATATCACAGTGTCTCACATTTCAGTGATAATGTTTAATAATACAACTATCACCTCACATTTCCATGATAATCTTTAATAACACAAATGTCAGCTCACATTTCCATGATAATGTTTAATAACATAAATATCACCTCACATTTCCATGATAATGTCCAATAATACAAATATCACAGTGTCTCACATTTCAGTGATAATGTTTAATAATACAAATATCACCTCACATTTCCATGATAATGTTTAATAACACAAATGTCAGCTCACATTTCCATGATAATGTTTAATAACATAAATGTCAGCTCACATTTCCATGATAATGTTTAATAACACAAATGTCAGCTCATATTTCCATGATAATGTTTAATAACACAAATGTCAGCTCACATTTCCATGATAATGTTTAATAACACAAATGTCAGCTCACATTTCCATGATAATGTTTAATAACATAGATGTCAGCTCACATTTCAATGATAATGTTTAATAACACAAATATCACCTCACATTTCAATGATAATGTTTAATAACACAAATGTCAGCTCACATTTCAATGATAATGTTTAATAACACAAATGTCAGTTCACATTTCCATGATAATGTTTAATAACACAAATGTCAGCTCACATTTCCATGATAATGTTTAATAACACAAATGTTAACTCACATTTCCATGATAATGTTTAATAACATAAATGTCAGCTCACATTTCCATGATAATGTTCAATAATACAAATATCACCTCACATTTCATTGTTAATGTTTAATAATACAAATAATCACCTCATATTTCAATGATAATGCTAAATAATACAAACGTCACCTCACATTTCATTGGTAATGTTTAATAATACAAATAATCACCTCATATTTCAGTGATAATGGTTAATAACACAAATATCACCTCACATTTCATTGGTAATGTTTAATAATACAAATAATCACCTCATATTTCAATGATAATGCTAAATAATACAAACGTCACCTCACATTTCGTTGGTAATGTTTAATAATACAAATAATCACCTCATATTTCAATGATAATGTTAAATAACACAAACGTCACCTCACATTTCATTGGTAATGTCTAATAATACAAATGTCACCTCATATTTCATTGGTAATGTTCAATGATACAAATATCAAGTATCTTTTCTGTTATCAGTATTAACCTTATGTGCACAGGTGGAGGTCAAAGTGCATAGTGTTAACCCTACATGCACAGGTGGAAGTCAAAGTGCATATGCCTGATCCTTGTACTGAGTGCCATTCAACATAGTATTGCACATTTGATGTCAGAATTATCAACTTTGCATGTTATCTTACTGATTTTATAACAGTTTATGTTGAAGTAGAGAATATTCCAGATACAGAGGACTGGCATACTGGAAAACTTTATATACACATTTTGGAGGTTCTAGAGGTTATGCAAATGTAATATGCAAACTGTAGGATGGAAAAAGTATTATTATTATTAACATGAACAACATCTTGCACTCCAGCTTGTCATAGTCTTAATCGAACTGACTTCAGCATTTCTCATACATATCTTTATTACAAAGACTTCAGTAAAACACATCTGACTTTTTTGGGTGCAAGAGATTTGTGCTGTTGAGTAAGAACTTGCCATATTTCATGAAGACACACTTTATAAATTCCGAATTATAGTCAACATTACTTCTCCAATATAGGGTCAGTTCATTGGTCTTTTCAGACATTTTTAAATATTCAGAAGTGTCTACAGTTATTGAAGCATATTTTAGGAATTTGTTGGCATATTTTTTTTAATAATGTATATCAGAAACCTGGAGTCATGAAAACACCTAGTTTTAGCTGCATTCTACTGGGTGAGGAATTATATATATTAAAAACTGCTATTGGATGGTCAGTTTGTTAAAAGGAGATACGTTTAGCTGTTCAGTTTCGTGCTAGAAGTTAACATTCTACTGGATGACCAGTTTAATAAAGGAAAATACTGTTCTGTTGGATGACCCATGTCATTATGGATACTACACCAATTATGACCAGTATTGGAAGACTACAGTTTATTTGATGACTGGTTTTGTAATGAGCAGTTGCATTCTATTGGATAACTAGTTTTATGTTAGTTTTAAACATTCTCACCTCACTATATTACTTGAGCATAATATTCATTTGTCAAATTACAAAGCATTTTGTTTATTTAATGCTATTAAAGGATTTTAATAACAATATAAATTTTTTTGTTCTCCTTGGACAAGTAATTGCCTTATAATACATGCATTTAACCCTCTAAGCATGGATTGGTAATTTTACATGAGCTTGAAAATCATGATGCTTTATCTGCTAGATCTTTGAGTTTACGAAGTATATTTTCACAAAATCTGGCATACTTTTATTAAATATTATAAGTCTGTTGTATGTCAATTTCCAAAGCCTTTACTGAATCAATCTGAGTGCAATGGGATTTTTATGCTAAAAAGAAAAATAATTCTTTTTTATCTTGCAATTGGCATATTTCATATGTTTAATCTCCAGAACTTTCTAAATTAATATCAAAATTTGTTTTAGGTAGAAGTTTATGTTTTATCTGCTATTTTCTGTACCCTAACATTAACTGTAGCTAAATCATCAATGTTCAATGATATGTAATGTTGAAATTTATGAAGTAAAATGAACAGTACTTTTTTTTCCTTTGAATGACTTATTTGTCACTGTATCTTCTATTTCATTATCTTCAGAATTTCTACTGTCTATCTTTTCACATATATTTTATTTCAGTTTTATAGTTTTACTACCTGGCTTGTATGATGTTCAGTTTTCTCATGCATGAGTGCATCACATTAACATATTTCCTGAAGAGCAACACGTCACATTAACAGATTTCCTGAAGAGCAACACGTCACATTAACATATTTCCTGAAGAGCAACACGTCACATTAACAGATTTCCTGAAGAGCAACACGTCACATTAACAGATTTCCTGAAGAGCAACATTTCACATTAACATATTTCCTGCAGAGCAACACGTCACATTAACAATATTCCAAATGTGACCTAACCAGTGAGCTGTACAATGAAATTATAACCTCTTTAGACTTGTATTCAATATTTCTGTACATACAACCTAAAATCCTATTTGCCCTACCACTAGCAACAGCATATTGCTTGGATGGCTTTAGAGACTGATCAACTATGACATCAAGATCACTTTCTTTCATGACACTGTTAAGGTTATTCCCATTCAAATTATGATAACCCACATGCATTATCTTGCATTTATTATAATTAAAACCCATCTACCATTTATTTGCCCAACTCACTAAATGAAATAAATCATTTTGTAAATTAGCAGCATTCTCTTCACAACTAGCAACACCCAAGACCTTAATATCATCTGCAAATTTAAGTAATTTATTGACCATTCTTTCATCTATGTCATCAATGTATTAGGTTGTGAAGAAATTAATGTTGCTTTTTTTAGATGAAAATACTGGAACAATTAATATATCAAAACAAAACATTTATTAAATGAAATAGTCTACATTTTTATCGATGATGCTTTTCCATCTTACAATCAGGTTGTTAATGCCCT